TCCTTTTTATGCAGGCAGACGTCTGTAACAAATTCTTTTGTCTGCCTGTTTTAGGAGGCACGCAAATTTGTGTAAATGCTGCATTCACAGTTTGAAAAACCGAAGCCAAATTCCTAATAGGTCATCAGCAGTTCTGTACATCTTGAAACGAGAGATTTTTGCTTTGCCTTGCCTTGTACTGAAAGCAATGATGTACAAAATGCAGCCACCTAGGCAGGCACATGAAAATGATGTTTGATTGTTTGCTAAAGTTCACTGCACACCTTCTTCTTCTTTTTTTTTTTTTAATATATGTAATCTGAAGATACATTTTCAGCCGATTTTCAAAAGCTGAGCCCAGGAGTTCTCAAACTACACCATTATGGCATTGGCATATCCATCTTCCCTGCTGTCCTCTGCAAAACTGTCAGCAGGACTGGGGGGAACCTGTACAGGCAACTTTACACCCTCAGGGCTCTCTGCTGTCTACCTTCTTAAAGTAACGCTAAACTCAGGAATTAAATCTTAAAAATGCCTTCAAGTACCTTAAAGGAGAACTATGGGGTTCTGTCACGGCAGAGAGCCGTGACAGGATCGAGAAGTATGGTATGTGTTCGCTCACTTCCCGATCTCCTGAGCCGACCTGTGACAGTCTCATTGTCACAGGTCGGCTAGAACTATGAGGTGAGTGAAAAGCACTCACCCTCGTAGTTCTCCTTTAACTAATAACAAAAATGTATCTTATTTGTATATCACTTGGCTGTAGATCCTGAAATCATCTCTGAATTCATGCTGACACTGTCCTTCCTTCAGGGGGATGGCTACTTTTGTTCCCCATGTTGTAAAGTACCCACTACTCCAAGATCGCTCCCTTGATAGACTGTTTTCAATACAAATTAGTAAACTAAACGTGAGATTGTAGTCCATCACGGCAGTGAGCTTGGAGCGGTACAAAATAAGTTACATTTCTGTTAATAGTTAGGATACTTAAATGCATTTTTATATATAACTCCTGAGTTTAGTGTCACTTTAATGTTGTACTCTTCCCACTTGGTGGACCGCCTTGCATGCAACACACGGCAAAAACACAGTCAGTGCACATACGCAAATAGCACATACAATGAAATCACAGTACCAATATATTTTTTTCGGTACTCACCAATACCGAATACTGATACCGGAAGTCCCATTACGGAAGCCAGGGGGAGTGTAACTACTCGCCACCCGGCTTCCCGATTAGTAGGGAAGCCGTCTCCATGCTTCTCATCTCCATGCTTCTCATCACTACATGACGAGACAGCATGGAGCCAATCAGGACGCCGGGCTCCGTGTAATGACGTGGCACCTGGCTTCCTGATTGGCCAGGAAGCCGGCTCCATGCTTCCTCGTCATGAGATGAGGGAGCATGTGGCTAACTTCCCTGCCAATCAGAGAGCAGGGCATCGCGTCGCACCATTACACGGTGCCCGGCTTCCTGATTGGCCGGCAAGCCGGCTCCATGCTCCCTCGTCACAAGTGATGAGGGAGCAATGGAGCCGACTTGCCGGCCAATCAGGAAGCCGGGCAGCGTGTAATGACTCGCTACCTGATACTGGAAGCTCAGGTATTGGTCTAGGTTGGAGCATTTGGGCAAGTAAGAGTACTCACCCAAATACTCGGCATCGGTGCATCCCTAATTATAACATACATCATAAGCCACATAGCTAATGTCGCTTATGCTAGAATACAGCAACCATTCCGAATTGCCTAATCCAGTTTACTGGCAGGGCATTGGAAAATGGCCAATTAGGTCTGAGCTATGGTTTTTCAGTGCCAGATTCTAAAACGGCTGTGTTTTATAGATCTAAATACATATAAATCGTCAGCTAGGCAATATGAGGTCATATTTTTCAAACCAAGTAATTGCTTACATTGCTTGATTGTTTAAATCAATTTTGACAGGCAATAACATAAATGAATGAGTTTTGTAGTCAGATTAACATGAACTAATCCTAATTATCTGCATATGTTTTCCCTCTGTATTTGACTCATATGAAAGTTCTTTTATTGGCAAATTTGAGACATTTTGAAGAAAATAAATTTAAAAGAAAATTTTATGACCTTAAAGTGTACTTGACTGTGATGTGTAGCTTGCTCCATGAATAAAAGATGAAACTTGGTTATACCGCCTTTTCTTCTGCCGAGGTTGCTTCTTTTTTAAATAGAGAAGGTTTTGTGTACAAGCCAGTTGAACAGGCTGGAGTGGAAAATTAGAGTGGGCCCTTTCCCAGTTTCCATGAACTGGTTTCCCCTCGCAGAATTCTCAGCTTCTTACCTTTGACTTAACAGAGTTAAAGGAAAAATTGGTGCCAGTTTGGTATTTGCAACCCATAGACTTGGAGCTTCCCAACTTCATATATAAGAGCAATGTCTGCTTTAGCTGATCTGGTAAATTGGTTTTTTAGATATTCAAATATCCTCACTTTCCTTTTCTACACAAGCTTCCCAATATAGAAGATATTTGACAGATGTGCAAATATCTGTGGGGGGGGGGGTTTAAGATTAAAAGCCTTAGAGCTGTATTTACTTTTCAGCCCCATAATTACTTGTAGTAGAATTCAGTGTATAACAGCTGACATTAATTTATAATACGTTATTTTGTTTAATTATTTTGCATTGCTCCATATCTTCTGTAATATTTTATAGGGAACATTTAATTATCAGGAGCTGCCACAACTGCTTACAAATTGTCGGCCCAATATACTGTATATGGCAGTGACGTGCAGTGCGTTCCATGCTGGGTGAGGCATTCCCCACCAGGCCAACGTTCCACCCTCCCACCCGGTCACCAATGTGTGGAGGAGGAAGGAGCCTCCCTGTCCCTCACTTGCTCGTCACTGGTGTGAGATCGATATCCTCAGTGGGTTTTTTATTATTATTGTGGATGGTTTGGACCAATGTCAAAGCGCCACTGATCCAAGCTGTCCAGAGCTCAAGCCTCTAAAACAAAGTAGAGGCTGTTGCAACTCTTGCCTCACTCTGTTGGCTTCCCCACTGCTTGTGTAACCTCGCTGCTGTGTAACCTAACTTAGCTGTCAAAAGCTGAATGCAGCGCTACCTGTAATTAACTGGCAGCGCTGCTGTGTAACCTATTGCAAGCCAGTCTGCATAGAGAAAAATATGTCAGCTTTAGACTTGAAGCTGACCGCTTTTTCCTCCATAATATTAGATGGGGCTTTGCCTCCCCTGACCACACGTCCCTGGTATATGGGCACCATATGCTCCAGATTGGCAGCAACCAGTTAACCTACCAGTATGGTTTTGGATTCTGGGAAAAATCCAGAGCAGGAATCCTCTGCAAGCACAGAGACTAATATTTTTGCTGAGAATATAACTAAGATCCTATAAACTGGCCTCTGGAGCAACAAAAGCCAATGCATCTTTTAAACTTTAAAGTTGAAGTAAAGTCCCCATTCTGCCACCTAAGAACATCATTAACCCATTCTCTTAGTATGTCTAATTACTAAAAATGCTTCAAAGATCGGTTTTGTATATCTTACAAATTTTTGGGGTGTAGGCGGTTCTCCCCGATATTCTGGAAGCCAGTGCCATTTTTCGTTCCCCATTCTTTCTTACGCTGTCTACTGACATCATTGGGAAATCCTGCGCTTGTACTGACCAGAAGTACTCAAGGCTCACTTTGAATTTATGATTTCTGCAAGGCTTCCTCCATGATGCTTTATGCTTCAGTGAATAAAAAGGAGGTGGCCCTTTAACACAATTTCCTAACCCCTTTGACATTGGTAGTCTGTGTTCGATATAGTTGATGACGTTATTTCGGCATAAATGCTTCTTACATCACGGCACTGCCAGGATGCTGTGAATGTAAAATAAACAGGACATGAGCTGGTAACATCATTAGGAACAATATTAGCAATGTCTCAGGTTTAGAAAATCTTTGGTGGATGTGAATTTCAATGAGTATGTCTTATATGCTTTTACATGAGGCCAAGTTGCATTCTTTACTTTACTTCCACATTAAGCTTGAGCTTTTAAACCTTAAGCCTTATCTTCCACGATAGTGTAACAAAGGATGTAAACCTTCAACTTACTGTACTTGTGAGTTGACCAACCATTCTAAATGAATACCCTGCACAGAGTGCAATATATTACCCTGTGTGAAATAAAATGCATTTTACTGTATGTTACCACAACACATAGGTGTGAAGCCAGCCTCAGGGCTTGTTCACACCTGTAGCCGCACTCATCTACATGCATGTGCCCAGACAGTGTTTGATGCGCTCTATTGGGCCGCATTGTTTTTTGTTGTTAGAGCTTTATTGAAATGTCCCAAGTAACCTTTCGTTAAGTTCTATGGTCTCACTTCTGTGTGATGCGGTTGTACTGTGTCTCACTGGTTCGCTTAAAAAAAAAAAAGACTGCATTTTGTACTTTTTTGAGCGCACAGTGGTGTGAACTGTCACCGTCACTCATGACGAGGCAAATTTCCTTGTCTTGCGTTCAGGCTGCGCTGCATAAAACTACCAGCACAGCCCAAACGCAAGTGGTGTGAATGATGCCTCAAAGTAGCCATTATTGTGTTGGGTGATTTAGCCTAGCTCCAGGTAACATTAGAAGAAACCGGAAGTACAGACTCAGTGAAACGAATTAGTTGGTTAATTGATAAATCATTTCCTAGAATGTCAGCCTCAACACTTTCTTTACACTTGTCTTTCTTTTTTTACACTGGTTTAACGGAAGCACATTACATTGTGTTTATTAGGAGTCAATATTTTTTAAGCAATTGTACAATATCTGTTTTTTTTACTATAAACTCTAGATGAATGGTTATGTTTTACTTGATCTGAGCACTGTTGCTGCAGATATCATGTTTTTTTCACTCTTATGTTGGTGGTTGCTAGCATAAGGTTTTCAGTTCAATTTTTGTTTTGTTCAAAATTGTTCATCGTTGTTGGTAAACAGACTGTAGGTGTTGCGTCCTTAGTGTCATCTTGTTCTCTAACAGCACTGTTTCTTTACAGCTAAGCTACCAGCTGAAGGTTGGCATCATGTACTGCAAAGCAGGTCAGAGTACAGAAGAAGAAATGTACAACAATGAGTCAGCAGGGCCAGCCTTCGAAGAATTCCTTCAGCTCTTGGGAGAAAGGGTGCGACTTAAAGGGTTTGAAAAGTACAGAGCTCAGCTGGATACCAAAAGTAAGAAAATGGCTATATCCAGAGCAAGAATAATATATTGTTCTGTACTTAACAGTACTCAGAAACCACTGCTTAGATGTATATTATTTTCCAGTTTTGTTCATTTTGTAGAATACACATGTTACTGTAATTTCAAGGGAATCTAGCAGGGTTTGTAATTATGGTGCAAATTGGAAGTTAGCCCTGTGATGAAAAATGCTAGAGAGGCAGCAGATTAGCTCTATAGTTTGCCACGTTTGCTGCACCAATCCTTCAACTTTCCTATGTTAATTGCCACAAATTTAGCAATGCTCGTCCCTCATGAAATAAGCTGGGGTGTGCTTTTTTCTTTAAAGGAGAACTATGAGGTGAGTGAAAATCACTCATCCTCATAGTTTGAGCCGACGTGTGACAATTAAACTGTCACACGTCGGCTCAATAGATCAGGAAGTGAGCAAACACATACCGTCGCTCACTCACTTCTCAATCATCTCCCTGTAGAGAGTGGTGACTGTCAGTCACCGCGCCCTGCAGGGATTCCCCCCTCCCTGCTCTGATCCTCCAGCGCTGACAAGAGGGACGGGTGGGGGTGGGTACAGCTGGCTCTGCCTCTATATAGGCAGAGCCAGCTGTCATCTACACAGCTGGGTGGATCTCAACAGCATTGTCGGGATCCATCCCGGCTGCGGCGCTCTCAGTATTCCGCAAGCTGTAGCTCGCGATATACTGAGCTTTGGGTCACGGGGTGAAGCAAGTGAAATCCCATTATTTCCTATGGGCATGGTTCTCACCTGGGCGTATTTCAGCGTGTCGGAACGTGCTGAAAACGCCCTACGCCCAAAGAACTACAGGAGCTTCTTTGGGGCGTATCTATTAGGATATAGCCGGATAGCCCTCGTAAACGCGCATTTGACGAGCGTTTTGTGGGCTGCAAATTGCATCATACACGCATATTTCGAAAGCCTAGGCGGGAACCCAGCCTAAAGGAGAACTATGAGGTGAGTGCTTTTCACTCACCTCATAGTTCTAGCTGACCTGTGACAATGAGACTGTCACAGGTCGGCTCAGTAGATCGGGAAGTGAGCGAACACATACCGGCGTTCGCTCACTTCTCGAGCCTGTCACGGCACAGAGCCTTGACAGGGGAGGGGCTGGATTCCCCACTCCCATCCTCCAGCGCTGCCTGGCGGAACCGACGGGGAGGGGGCGGGTACAGCTGGCTCTGCCTCTAGATAGGCAGAGCCAGCTGTCACTCATGCAGCTGGGCGGATCCAGACATAATTGTCGGGATCCGCTTCAGCTGCGGCGTCTCAGTATACTGAGCTTAGGGTGACGGGAGGACGCTAGTTTGTGTTCTCCCGTTACCCTAAGGAGAAATATGTGGAAAATCCCTAACCCCGTAGTTCTCCTTTAATCACTGATAATCCCCTTGTGGTGATGATATACCTCCAAAAGAAAGCTCTATCTAAAATTTTTTACGTAAATTGCAAGACTATAATCCGGTCATGCTGACTGGTGACATTTTTGACTGACTGGTGAGACACTATCAAATTTTTCAAGCCCTGCCCATAGTTCACATTTAAAGCATATCTAACTCAGAAATTATAATGTCATATGTTACAGCTTACCGATCCTTAGATGTGGTAGCTGCTAGGGCTGCAGCTAACGATTATTTTCATAATCGATTAGTTAGCCGATTATTAAGTTCGATTAATCGGATTTAAAAAAAAAAAGCTCCAGTGATGGACTACTAGTTTGTATTGAGATTGTAGTCCATCACGGGAGCAAGCTTGGCGCGGTGGAAGTAAAAAAAAAAAGTGTGGTGTGCAATATAGTACATTATACAGCGGCGCAGTGCAGAATACCAGCAGCTATAGAGGAGCAATAGTACATTATACTATAATGTACTATTGCTGGGATTTGTATTTCTCTATAGCTGGTGAGATTCTTCATTGGGCTGTATAATGATTATACTGCGCAATGCAGATTACCACTGACCAGTTATAGAGGAACTACAAATCGCAGCAATAATACATTATACAGTGCAATGGAGAATACCACCAGCTATAGAGGAACAACAAATCCCAGCAATAATACATTATACAGGCTGTTTAATATATTATTGCTGGGATTCGGTGTTCCTCTATAGCTGCTGGTGTTCTACAGTGTGCCGCTTTTTTTTTTTTTTTAAACAGGAAACATTAAAACAGGTCCCCCTTACCTGTTTCTGAACCCTTGTAAGTCGCTGCGGCGGCGGCGTGCTCTGCGGGCGTGTGTCCGGCTTGTGTGGTGGGCGTGGCATACGCGGCGTGGGCGTGGCGTCCGCGGCGTGCGTAGCGTAACTCGTACCTGTTCCACCATAGCACCCCTGTACTCCTGTTCCCTAACGGCACCCCCACACAACTATTCCACCATTGCACGCCAATACACCTGTTCCTCGCTGCACCTTCATACACCTGTTCCACCGCTCCACACCCATACAACTGTTCCACACAGCACCCCCACACACCTATTCCACTACTGCACCCATACACCTGTTTCACACAGCACCCTTGTACACCTGTTCCACCACAGCACCCCCAAACGCCTATTCCACCACATCACACTCATACACCTGTTCAGCACCTCCATACCCCTTTTCCACCACCACACCCCCGCACACCTATTCCACCACTGCATCCCTGCACACCTGTTCCACACTGCACCACCATACACCTATTCCACTACTTCACACCCATACACCTGGTCCACTGGCCGGCTTTATCCGGCCAGAAAACACTTCATGTCTTAGGGTGGGTCCACTCTGCGGAAGAGCAACTGAGCCAACCTTAGACAGCAGCATTGTCATTCTGTGTTGAGGGTAATGTTAGATGTGCTAGTAGATTTAGATGGCCCTGACTAATGAAATTCGAACTCCAGCTAACACTTTTTAGCAGTCACAGCAACAGTTCTGTTTTTCCTTTTGGGTTAAAAATTTTATACAATTTAACAAAAGCTGTTAAATGGTTTGTCTCAACCATCTATCTGCCAATTTTGCTTGACCGCTTGATCTGTTAAAGCAAGTTGGAAAATGTCAGACTTACTGGTCACACAAAAGGTGAAATAAAGGGGAAAGCGTAATAAACAGAAAACGAATGCAGCCACCATATCTAAGAATTGGTAAGCTGCAATATATTACATTATTCCTATGGGATTTGATACGATTTAGGTGAAAATGACTTCCATTGCTAATGAGCTGAAAATGCCATTTCTGGACTCAATACGCTGAACTGAAATATGCATCACATGCAGATAGTCAGAGTGAATTCCTGGTCTGCATTCTTGTTCCAGGCTATTGATTTAGAAAGTCAGATAAATAACATAAAAGCAGTGCACATACCATGTAAGACCTGGTCTCCCCCTCAGTCCATAAAGTCAATGTATATCTACAACAACTTACAAAAATAGTGGGCCTATCTGAAATGTACTAGGTGTTGCATACAAGATGAGCCTCAGAACCTCTCCCCAGCCGTGAACTTTGTTGTTCTGCAGTCAGCATTACTCACTGGACCCACTTTAAGATGACACATGCAGCATCAACAGCAACCTGAATAACCTCAGGAAAAATACTTTCTGTGTAAGTCATTGGGCAGTGTGTTTCAGCGCTTCTCGGTAGGCATGAGAAAGAGGTGGAGCTCCTCCACTACACTTCTCTATGAATTATTGATGAGAAGATATCCTTCCTGCAACCATACAGTTCAGTATGACAGTCATTATTCTCTAAACCGGTTGTGAACACGATGCTGACTTTTGATTGGTTTCTTCAGATTTCAAGTCACACACTAGCATTGTATAGTTTTAATCCCATCACATCAGGCAGGGATTTATTGACTAAATGAGCTGCACTGGTAGTTGGGCTAACAGTTACATAATTAAAAGGAAATTTGTTTTAAGATACATGGCTTGGAAACAAACAGGCAAAAGAACCACTCCTGAATGCTCTGTGAATAAAAACAAACTTCTAGAACCTAAGAAGAGCACTCGGGTGCTTGTTGTTCAATGCATCAAGGACAACTTCCGTGGATTGAAAAACATGATGAATCATGGTGCACTTGTTCATATACTGCTAAAGAGATGACTCATAAACTGAACATATAATATGTAATGATGAACTTGAATACTCTTACCTTTCAATAAAGAGGAGGAACAAATAGAAACAATAGAAGTAAAGTGCAAAAACAACGGTGTGTCTAGCTCAAATAAAATGCCATCACAAGAGCAAGAAGTTGGGTTTACAGTCTATGCATGAGTCGTATCCACCTATAGGGAAGAAAGTTTATATTCTTTGAGAAAATTAAATGGAAAGTATACATGTACCCATACATTAAAGATTCCTATTTTAAGAAGCTGTTCAATTTTGAGTGGATGGCATTAAAGGGAAGTGTAATATACACTAGATTGCCAAAAGTATTAGGACACCCCTCCAAATCATTGGATTCAGGTGTTCCAATCACCTCCATGGCGCAGGTGTGTAAAATGAAGCACCTGGGCATGCAGACTGCTTCTACAAACATTTGTGAAAGAATGGGTCGCTCTTTCAGGAGCTCCGTGAATTCAAGCGTGGTACCGTGATAGGTTGCCACCGATGCAATAAGTCCATCCGTGAAATTTCCTTGCTACTAAATATTCTACGGTCAACTGTTAGTGGTTTTATAACAAAGTGGAAGCAACTGGGAACAACAGCAACTCAGCCACAAAGTGGTAGGCCACGTAAAATGACAGAGCGGGGTCAGCGCATGCTGAAGTACGCAAAAGTCGCAAACTATCTGCAGAGTCAATAGCTACAGACCTGCAAACTTCGTGTGGCCTTCAGATTGGCACAACAACAGTGCGTAGAGAGCTTCATGGAATGGGTTTTCATGGCCGAGCAGCTGCATCCAAGCCTTACATCACCAAGTGTAATGCAAAGCGTTGGATGCAGTGGTGTAAAGCACGCCGCCACTGAACTCTAGAGAAGTGGAGACATGTTCTCTGGAGTGACGAATCACGCTTCTCTGTCTTGCAATCCGATGGACGTGTCTGAGTTTGGCAGTTGCCAGGAGATTGGTACTTGTCTGACTGCATTGTGCCAAGTGTAATGCTTGGTGGAGGGTTGTTTTTCAGGGGTTGGGGTTGGGCTTGGCCCCCTGGCTCCTTAAGAAAGGAGCAAGTAGGCCCAATAAAGGACAAAAACGGAAAGTTACTCACAAGTGACAGGGAGAGGGCCGAGGCGCTGAACGATTTTTTTCTCTTCAGTATACACTCATCCACCTAAAGTTGGTGGAGAAAAAATTCCAGCACAATGGGCGAAGAAGGTTCTTAACATTAAGAGCGGTTAAGGTCTGGAACTCTGCCATCGGCAGTGATTTCAGCCAAGAGTGTAGATTTGTTAAAGAAATGTTTGGACAATTTCTTGAGGGACCGTAATATCCAGGGATACCAGTATCCCTAAGAATGAGATGATGCGTGGACCTATATGGGTTGGACTTGATGGACGTATGTCTTTATTCAACTCCAAATACTATGCAACTATGTAACTCTTAAGGCATCGGCATACCAAGACATTTTGGACGATTTCATGCTCCCAACTTTGTGGGAACAGTTTGGAGATAGTCCCTTCCTGTTCCAACATGACTGCGCACCAGTGCACAAAGCACGGTCCATAGAGACATGGATGAGAAAGTTTGGGGTGGAGGAACTTGACTGGCCTGCTCAGAGTCCTGACCTCAACCAAATAGAACACCTTTGGGATGAATGAGAGCAGAGACTGCGAGCTAGGCCTTCTCATCCAACATCAGTACCCGACCTCACAAATGCGCTTCTGGAAGAATGGTCAAACATTCCCATAGACACACTCCTAAACCTTGTGGACAGCCTTCCCAGAAGAGCTGAAGCCGTTATAGCTGCAAAGGATGGGCCAACTCAATATTGAAGACTGGGATGTCATTAAAGTTCATGTGCGTGTAAAGGCAGGCGTCCCAATACTTTTGGTAATATAGTGTTACTAACAAAAAGAATAAAACCAGTAATTTCCTTTTAATGTGTGAGGACATAACTACATGCAGTTGATCAAAGTGCAAATGTCATAGCAAATGTTTAATATGTAAGGAGGTGGTTTATGATTAGAAGCAGAAAAGTCGTGTTAAAAATGAAGATGTGATTTTTATCTATATATGGTAATTATATATATGTGAATAATGGTATAAGTGTTCAAACTTCCTGTTAATGCTCTCTGACTGTAAACCAGCGCTAAAACTCTATTCCAGGCAGATAACCGTCACAAATTAATGCAGTTCTGTATTTACTATTAAATATTTGCATGTAGTTCAGGCTAGGTGAGGGAATGGGCAACACTCAGAGCCAGTCAGGTGTACTACATGCAAATGTCCTGACAAGGAACATGCTAAAAAGAGGAGAGAAGAGAAATGACCTTCAGTCTGCTGCTGCTTGTGCACACTCCAATAAGAAGCTTGGTGTCAGCAGTGTGCTCCTCTCCTCAATTGTAATGGAGGAAGTGGTGTGTACTGGTGTGATAGGAGTTTTGATCGATTCACAGACTGAATGGACATAAATGCTAATTTTTTGGCAGCTAAAATATTTATGTATGCAGACGGTTTGCATGGAGTTCAGCTGTAAATATTAAGTATGTGCTAACATACATTTGTTCTTTTTATGCCATAAACATTCTAAAGTATTATCATTTGTATTATTTAACAGCCGACTCCACTGGTAACCACTCTTTATATACTACATACAAGGATTACGAAATAATGTTTCATGTGTCTACAATGCTGCCATACACACCAAACAACAAGCAACAGGTAAGATACAGTTTATCTGAATGATTAGAGCAATGATGGTCACTCATATAAAGTGGAGCTCTACATATCTAACTTTTAATCATTAAATATGGTAATTTTTAAAACATTTGTTGCAGTATACTTTTTTTCTCAAGTATTTTGCCTGTCGGGTAAGATAATTACATATGCCTCACATCATGTATTGTAGCCAAGTTAGTGGCATCTTGCATCACATGTGCAATATTTCAGTACAGCGCTGCATGACGGAATAAATGTCAGTCAAAGTACCGCAGCGCTGAATACTGAAAAATGGCCTGGATGGGAAGGGGGTTTAACACCGCGGATGTCAACTGGTTAAAGTATAGCTAAAGCCAAAACTTTTTTTTTTTTTTCTTTCATTCATTTTGAATAGAGTAGGGAGTGGTTAAAGCCCTTTCAGGCTTTTTCCCTGATCTGTTTTCCATTGGGGAGTTCCTTCCACTTCCTTTTCTGTAGATGTAAGAAAATTCATAATGATGGAAATCGCCTCCTTGACATGTGAACAAGCATCCCCACTGGAAGATTTCCACCCTGTTCCAGTTCTGGTGACTGTGCAGTATTTGGGCTGGAATTACGCCTGTGCCCCTTTCCCAGTTTTGTTTAACCATTTAAATTAATGAAAGTGCAACAAAATGTATATCAATGTACATATGTACATTAATATGATGTACCCCCCTCCATAAACTCACCTTCTGTTTGTAACATTTCCCTTTACCTTCCTGTACTGAAAATCCAACAGAAGTTGAAAGGAAAATCCCAGTATAGTATAGGAAATCCCCTTTTAGACACTTTTCACCCACACAAGTGTTTTTAGTGGAAGATTTCCCCACTGTTTCTGTTCTGGTGACGGCTTAAAATATTAGATTTCCCTTCCCTTTCATCCTGAAGTGGTCACCAGGACAAATTGGGTGAATCTCCCAAACGAATACACCGACAGCAGTGAAAACTTGGCTTTAGATACATTGAAAATTATGTCTTGATTTGTATTTTAAAACAATGGTGTAGTCCTATTTTTTGTGTACCAGGAAAAGTGAGTTTTTGATGGGCAACAGATGCACCTACATGTATTCCTAATAGAATTCATTGTGTTCAGTTATATGGTACCTCATTTGGGTGTTTTTTTTGTTTTTTGCACTGGTACAGAGGCAGTCATGAGATATATGACCTTATGACAAAGTAATTAAAGCCAATGTTTGAAACCTGATAAACATTATGGCTTGCAGACTTATCAGGAAAAAATTACATTTGATGGCTTTGTAACAATCTCCAGACCGATACACTACACACATTACCGTTTGGTCAATATGAATTCTTATAGTATATCCCCACTAATGACCTTTCTATAAGAAGCCTGCATCATCTGTGTCGCACATTTCGCATGATAATCTCATATGTTACACAGATGCAAAAAAGGGCTCCAAACGTTTTGGAGAATAGGATTTATTTGGTACACTGTGTTCTGAAATGATATATGTATTTTGCTGGTGTGTGTGCAGTGTCAGAGACAAAAGTGTGTTTATGTAATATATACATTTGTGATGAGAAAGAATTTAGGCAGTTGTTTTGGCAATCCTTTTTGATGTTTTATTCATTTTTACGCATGTAAATAACAAACGTGTTTCTTGGAGACAGATACAGTCGATATAAAAAGTCTACACACCCCTGTAAAAATGCCAGATTTTTTGGATAAAAACATCAGACCAAGATAAATCACTTCAGAATTGTTTCCATATTTAATGTGACCTTTTAATCTATTCAATTAAAAACAAACTTAAATCTTTAAAGGGGGGGGAAATACAAAAAAATACAATAATGTGGTTGCACACATATGTACATCCCTAAACTAATACTTTTTTGAGGCACCTTTTGATTTTATGACAACATTCAGTCTTTTGCGGTGGGAGTCTGTCAGTATGGCACATCTTTCCCCATTGTTCCTTGCAAAAGCGCTCCAAATCTGCAGATTGTGACGTGCACAGTCCTCTTCGGGTCACCTCACAAATTTTCAGTTGGATCTACTACTGGGGAAACCATTATTTTGTTGAGTTGGAGGTATGTTTGGGTCATTGTGCTGAAAGGTGAAATTCCTCTTCATCTTCAGCTTTTTGGCACAGGCCTGAAGGTATTGTTCCAAAACTGACTGATATTTGGAACTGTTGATATGTTCCCCCACCTTAGCTGAAGCCCCAGTTCCAGCTGAAGAAAAACAGCCCCAAAGCATAATGGTACCACCACCATGCTTCACTGTAGGTATGGTGCTATTTTGGTGATGCACAATGTTGTTTTTAAAATTTATGGCCAAAAAGTTTAACCTTGGTCTCATCAGACCATAACATTTTTCCACATACATTTTTCAGAATGGTAGGTTTTTGTCTTAGTAAGAAAAGGCTTCTGTCTTGCCACTCTACCCCACTGCCAAGACATATGAAGAATTGAAGATTGTTTTACCTTCTGCCATGAATTCTTCCTGAAAAATAGTGTGCTTTTTGTGTCTACAGCCTCATAGCTGTGTAGGTATACATATTATCATATTATCTAAGACATTGTTGCCTCTGACTGCTATCTCAGGAGAGTAGTGAGATTTGGTGAAGTCACTACTGTACTTCTTACTGTTCGCTGTTCTCCAGACAATCTAACAATCTATGGATCTATGCTTTCTGAATCTATCTTGCACCGTTTTCAATATCCCACCAAAAGTCATGAAGGGTCAGCTCTGACATGTGTAAGCAATTACCAGGCTGCTACCCTTCTACCAAGCTGGCTGCCTCCACACAGTGTGGAATGTATGCATGCTAAAGATGAACTTTACCCACCAATTTGATGCCTCCCAAAACAGTTACTTTATTTTGCAGTAACTGATAAAGATGTGTTAACAATGTGTTTAACAATTTGTATGTTGTGACAGGTTAATGCTGGGTAAAAAAAAAAAAAAATGTATGTCATCTATGTTTAAATTCATGTGTATTAAAGGGTTAGCTCACTTTAAAAAAAAAAAAAAAATAAGCTATTAAACCTACAACCCC